TCCTTTCTTAGTGAGCCCCTAGAAGCCGAGAGGAATCTATGTGCCAAATTTCAAGTTTGTAGCCTTTACAGTTCTGGAGATTTTGTGATGATGCATGAGGGGTATTTCCCTTTTATACATATAGATATATCTTAGTACTGAGAATGAAGCATCTACAGAAATCAAAACAACCCCATTCATAGCTACATCTGGTATTTTGGACAGCGCTTAACAAATGAGGTCATACTTTCCGCCTCTGAATTCCTTTCAGGATCAGAGAGCCAACAGTTTTATCAGATTAGCCAGCCCATTATACCTACATAAAACTCACAACAAACACATTCTTTGTAAGGACTTATCACGAACGCACATTGTCACCCAGAATACAGGTTTGACTTTATCTGATTGCAGAGGTTCAGGGATGGGACCTGTTTCCCTCTGCCTTGAATCTTACTCCGCACCTTGCCTGTTATAACAGTGCCCAGCCAGGTCTTATCTGCGGCATGAATCCAAAATGAATCCTTGCAAAGCTTATTTGATATCCGAAGGTCAATAGAAGCATCCAAAATCGAGGTAGGATCTGCATATAATACGGGGTTTCAATAAGAAGGGAACGTTTGCAGCTCAAGGTTGAACTGGGCTCGCTTGTTTTCTTGAAGAGTTTTTCGTAACCCAACTAGGGAACATCACCAGTGCTGGAAGGAGCTTTGCAGAGAAGAGGAAGAGGAGGAGAAGAGGAGGAGGAGAAGAGGAGGAGGAGGAGAGGAAGAGGAGGGGAGGTGGAGGAAGGTTGTGGGCTCCTTGGTCCTCTGAACTGGATGGTTTCCTTGCGAACATTTGGGGAGAGAAGAAAAGGGGAGGAGGTTGGGGTCCTTGATGGTCTCTTGAGCTAGGTTGTTCTCTTGCAGACGTTTCATGACTCAACTGAGGGCCGTCATCAGTGCAAGAAGGGGTGGAGGTATACTCTCTGCTTATGTCTTGGTGGGAGCATTCTTACGTATTCCTTAATTAGGTACTACCCCACCCTTCAATTAGGAGGTGCTCACCAGTAATCAGCACCCCATAAGCAGAGATTAAGCCCAGCATTAGGATCAGGGCAACTACCAAGCAGTACACAAGATGCTGATCCAGGAACTACCAAGCAAACAGCTGAATTGTAAAAACAGCCTAGTGAAGGAAGCACCAGGAGACCCCTCACACCATGGCAATTATCTTTTTGACCTGCTGCCGTCTGGACGGCGCTTTAGGTCAATAAAATCCCATGCCACTAGACTAACAAATAGTTTCTTTCCCTGGGCCATCCGAATTGCAAATAAACACGAAGTCACTACCTTTATCGAGATGTGAAAAGACGTGAAATTGCAATACCTCATTCAGAGGTATAACAACATATTACAGTGCAATCCATCTCTCGTGTATTATACTCGACAAAGCGTCAGTCAGTGTTGGATGTATATTTTGTGTATATTCGTAGATATTGTACTCTCTAATTGCAAATGGAGACGTGGGTACTCTTATTTTTCTTTATCTTCATTTTTAAGTGCTCTGGTTTTACTGTATTGCGAACAGTTGCTGGGGTGCACCCACAGTTTCGTTGTACTTTTACAATGACAATAAACTTCTTCTTCTTCTTCGGAATCACTTCAAACATTGACAGGACAAACCAACTTTGATATAAACGGAGAGGAAACCTTTGTAGCGCTGATGACAGTCCCTAGTTGGGTCATGAAACGGCTTGAGGAAAACCATCCAGCTCAGCGAGTACCTCCACAGTCCTCCTCCTGCCCCCCCTCTCCCCCTCCCAACCTCCTCTCTGCAAACCCCACTCCCTCCTTACAAACGCTCCCTAGTTGGGTCATGAGACGTCTCTTGAAGAAAACCCAGCTCAGGAAGAAATAGGACCCCACAGACTTCCTCCTTCTCCCCCTCAAGCCCCTCTTGGCCTTCTAGCACTGATGGTGTTACCTAAATGGGTAATGAGACGTCTGCAAGAAAACCACCAAACTCAAAGAGCACCCAGGACCCCACAGACTTCCCCCTCCTCACCCCTTCTCCTTTTCCTACACTCTGTAAGCCCCCCTTCCCTTCTAACATGGATGATGTAAACCTAGTTGGTTCATGAAACGTCTGCGACAAAAACCACCCAGCTCCGAGAGCACCAAGGACCCCACAGTCCTCCTCCAGCCCTTTTCTTCCTCTTCCCCCTCCTTCGTCTCCCAAGAACCCACTCCCTCCTAGCACTGAAGAAGTTACCTAGTTGGGTTATGAAGCGTCTGCAAGGGAATCAACCAAGCTCAGAGAGCATCGAGCATCCTGCGGTTCCTCCTCTTCCTCCTTGCAAGCTCCACTCCCTTCTAGCACTGATGATGCTACCCAATTAGGTCATGAAATGTAAGAAACCTACCAAGCTCAGAGACCCCCAAGGACCCCACAGTTCCTCCTCCCTGTAAACCCCACTCCCTTCTAGCACTGATAATATAACCTAGTTGGGACACAAAATGTCTGTAAGAAAACCAAGCTCAGAGAGCACCAAGGGCCCCACAGTCCTTTTCTTCTTCTTCTTCCTCCTCCCTACAAACCCTCCTCCCACCTAGCCCTGATCAGGTTCCCTAGTCGGGTCAAGAGACATCTCCAAGCAAAAACACCAAGTAAAGGACTTTACTGCCTATAAAAAGCCCTCCTGCCCACAGAGGAACTATTGGAAGAAAAGAGGAAGGAAGGAAGGAAGGAAGGAAGGAAGGGAAAGAAGAGAAAGAAGACAACGGAAAGAGAAAGAGAAAGGGAGAGAAAGAAAAAGAAAGAATGAAAGAAATGAGAGAAAAAGAGAAAGAGAAAGAAAGAAATGAGAAAGAGAATGAAAGAGAAAAAGAAAAAGAGAACCAAAAGAAAGAGAGAAAGAAAGAAATGAGAGAGAAAAAGAATGAAAGAAATGAGAGAGAAAAAAATGAGAGAATTAAAGAGAAAAAGAGAAAGAAGAGAACCAAAAGATAAAGAGAAAGAAAGAGAGAGAAAAAGAATGAATGAAATGAGAAAGAGAAAAAAATGAGAGAATGAAAGA